TATCTTCGCCTCTGTTTGTAGCATTTACTTATTATCAGGGTAGACTTGTGCCTTCCTACTTTATTCAAAGGTAACAATCCACAAATGTCATCCATTTATTTTGATGCTCTCACTGTCCCTGGATTGGATTGTTCCTTGTAGCCCAAGAGGGCAGAATTAGTACTTACAGAGAGATACTACCAAGGGGGGACACCCCAATTTTGACTTAATGAAAGAAGATACAGCTGCTATGCCCTGAATATGTCCTCCCAAAATTCATACACTGAGGTTTAGTCCCATTGTGGTATATTTGTAGGGAGAGCCTTTGGGAGGTGATGATTAGGTCATGAAGGCAATGGCTCAAGGGATTAGTGTCCTGATAAAAGAGACCCAAGGGAGCTTGTCCATCCCTCCCACCTTGTCGGGACACAGTTGAGAAGATAGATCTCTGTGAATCAAGATGTGAGCCCTCACCAGACCCCAAATCTGCCAGCACCTTGATTTTCCCAGCCTCCAGAACTGTGAGAAGTGAGGGTCGGTTGTTTGTAAGGCATTCTGTGGCATTTCGTTTTAGCGGACCAAAGAACTAAGACAAGAGCTTTTGAAGGATTCCAACTCTCCATCATTAGAACTAGTGCTTGAGAATGCAGTAAGCTGCCCATCACCAGAAGTAATTAAGAGAGGCTGCTGACTACTTTTTTATAGAAGCAATTCATGCATCAGGCTGGGGCTTTTAAAGGTCCCTTCAGAATCTGACAGTTGAGAGCTGCTAAGGAATCCTGGAAAGGAGAATGGTGTGCCACACTGTTTAGAGGGACACTAAATGCTGAAAAGGGGAGATGTCCAGTCCACCTACTGGAAACGATCCAACCCACACTCACAGTCAATAAAATTCTTAACCCTAATCTTCTCAGCTTTTCCTGAACATCGCTGCATGCCAGGCACTGTGCTAAATGTTGTGAGCCCAGAAAGGAAGACATCTCAGACCCAGTCCTAGAGAAGAACCAGGCCCAAGGCAGCAGCCAGAGGAATGACAGAGGGAGGGTCTTCCAGCTCTGTCCGGGGCAGCCAGGAAAGGTCTCAGAGAATAACTGACTTTTCAAGAATGAGTAGGAGCTCACCATTCAAAGAGCAAGTGCAGCCACTAGAATTCTGGCCAGCACAAGATGGAGCCACCAAGACTCTAATTCTGGAAAAATTTTGCATAAATATATATAGATATATACATATAGTTATCTCTCTATACGCACTATATGTGCATATTAAGTACATGTTTATGCACAAAAATGTATCTTTCTACATTTTCTTGTTATGGGCACACGTATGGGGAAAAGCATGGGTTTCACAAGCAAAGGGTACAAATGGGCAATAGTTTTGCTTCCTGGTCAGAAGATGCAGCCCTAACTCGGGTGTGGTGATGTGTGCCTGTAGTCCCAGCTACTTGGGAGGCCAAGGCGGATTACTTGAGGTCAGGAGTTCAAAATCCTCCTGGGAAACATAGCAAGACCCATCTACGAATAAAGAAAAAGAAGAAGAAGATGTGGTTCCTGCTTCCTTCACCCAGAGACCTATGTTCACGAAATACTCTGAGATTAAATGCTCTGAACAGCTGGTCGTAGTGGCTCAAGCCTGTAATTCCAGCATTTTGGGAGGCTGAGGCAAGAGGATTGCCTGAGTCCAGGGGTTCGAGACCAGCCTGGGAAACTTGGTTAGACCTAGTCTCTACAAGAAATTAAAAAATTAGCTGGGTGTGGTGGCACTTGCCTGTAGTTCCGGCTACTTGAAAGGCTAAGACAGAAGAATCGCCTGAGCCCAGCAGGTCCAGGCTGTAGTGGCTGTGAGCATGCCATTACACTCCAGCCTGGGCAACAGAGTGAGACTCCAATTCAAAAATAACAATAATGCTCTGAGCTGGCTGAGAGGCAGACTAGGAGCAAAAACACATGGCAGACACCTACATTGGCTGCCTCCTCACTCTTCTTCTCCTGGGTCTTTGCTCTCCACACACAGCGCAGAGGGTGCAAGTCCTGGCATGGCACAGTCAGGGGGAGAGTTATATGCTGACATCTGGCCATGTGTGGGGAGTCTCTGGCCAAAGAGACCCTCTCCCCATCTCATCTGAATTAATTCAGGAAAGCAGCCTCCTGAATGGCAATAAAAACAGGACTGTGGCTGGGCTCAGTGGTTCAGCCTGTCACTCCAACACTTTGGGAGGCTAAGGGAGTGGATTGCCTGAGCCTGCCGGTTCGAGACCAGCCCGGGCAACTTGGCAAGACCTTGTCTCTACAATAAAATCAAATAAATTAGCCAGGTGTGGTAGCACACACCTATAGTTCCAGCTACTTGGAAGGCTGAGGCAGAAGGATCACCGAAGCCCAGCAGGTTAACACTGGGGCGACTGTGAGTGTGCCACTGCACTCCAGCCTGGGCAACAGAGTGAAACTCTGACTCAAAACAAACAAACAAACAAACAAAATGGCACTGGCTACCTTTTCATAGCACTATGTTTTATAAACTCACAACATACATGCTACCATTTGCCTCTTCTCAGCCCAAGGCAGACATGACTAATCTATCACATCACACTCTGACACTGACAGCAAGACTTCATCAACCTTCTCTACATACATTTCCAGGCAGCTGCTGCCAAGTGCTATCCAGGAGCAGAGCATAGTTTCCAAATGTATTTCATATTTGATACCTAATTTGAATTTCCTGAGTCTGCCATAAGATCAGACAAAACAAGTATGGCAAACCCCATTTTAAAGATGGAAGAAAAGACAATAGAGACAAAGTAACTCTTCTGGGATCCATCTGTTGGGAGAGATGGAGCTGAGACAAGAAAAAGGCCTATCATACAATCCTTGCCACGTGTTCTCTCTTGCTGCTTGTGCTGAAACCTGAGAAGGTTTTGAGTAGAATTAGTCTGCATAGCTCCAACACTCAGTCAACGTGGGCCCACATGCATGATGTGGCCCTGCTGAGATGGACTTCAAAACCCAGCTCATGTGCAAGTCATATCTTCCATGAAGACCCTGCCAAATTCTTCTGAGGTTCTGAGCTTTCCATATTTGGTCTTTATTCCTAGCAAGGAGTACAAAGCTGGTGTGCAGTAGGTGCTCAATAAATGGCTATTAAGCTAAATCAATTAAGAGTGGCAAAACCCTATGCCAGGGGTAGTGTCTCTGGAGGGAAAAGTGATACAATACAGCAGAGCAAAGAACAGAGGCTTTAGAAGCAGACAGACCCAGGTCAGAATTACCACGTAGACTAGTCATCTGTTATTGGACTACTGAGCCCTGTTGGGGCTCGATTTGTACATCTGTGAAATGGGGAGGAAACTACCCCATTCTCAAAAGAATGTTGAGAAAATAAAATGAGTGAAATGTTTTAAAGAGCTTGGTGATAAAGAATGGGAGAAAGAAGAGGAACCAAAAGAAGAGGAATATGGCAGAGAGACTTTTTTGGTGTCCCCCAATAATGGCCACCCTCTGGTATTCATGTCCTTATACAATCCCCTCACTTCGAGTATGGACAGGACCTGTGACTTGCTTCTAAAAGAATAAGACAAAAGTGATGAGCTATCACCCCCACAATCATGTTACATTATTTAAAATTCCATCTTGCTAGCAGTCTTTCTCCAGAAACTGCCTCCCTTGCTGGCATTGAAGAAATAGGAGGCCATATCAGAAGGCCCACAGGGTAAGGAGCTGAGAGCAGCTTTCAGGAGGTGATGGTGGCCTTCAGCTGATAGTCAGCCAGAAGTCAGGACCCATAGTCCTCTCACTGCAAGGAAATGAGTTCCTCCAACAACCTGAGTGAGTGTAAAAGCAAATCCCTCCCCAGTCAAGCCTCCAGATGAGAATACAATCCTGGCCGACAGTTTGACTGCAGCCTTGCAGAGGCACCCAGCTAAGCCATACCTGGACTACTGATGCTCAGAAGCTGTGAGATAATAAATATTTGTTATAAGCAGCCGTGTCTATGTGTGTGATCATCTGTTATATAGCAACAGAAAACTAATGTAAGGAGGAAAAAGGAGAGAAAGAAGAGGACCAATGGCAATTAGTCTAAAGAAATCAATCATAAGACTGCAGGGAAACTTCTCTCTCTTTGAGGAGCAGCGGCAGTCCAAAAGTTTCAGCTAAGGCCAACCTGCCTGTGTTTTCAGGTATACTCTCTACAGATGTGAGCAGATCTCTAACTATGAAAGTTTCCTTCTCACGCCTGAAGGATAAGCAAATTTACTGCAGCAATACCCACTAGAGGGACTGGTGCTCCTTCCCTCTCCCTACACCCCCCTCCCTTGGCATGACTCGCTGCCAAGGCTACCAGTGACAACAATCAGCTTAATGCCGTCTAATTGACCTCCCGCCTCCTCAGTGTGCTCTGAGCTCTCAGGCAGGCCCATGAGGCGGTTGCCTCAAGGCCTGGGGCAAAGCTGTTGCCAGCCTCTACCGCATGCCTTCCCAGGAGGAAGTATCTCCTCCCAGCACATGGCCAAGGCATGAAAAATTCCACTGCTCAAGTTCCCTTCCCCTTATATTAAAACCAGAACCAACCAGCCCTCTCCGGAGTTTTAGCCTTTGATTTTACAGACCCAATTAGAGTTGGCAGGGTTAAATCAGCCCCATGTTACTTTAAAAAAAATGATGATTCCAAAGTAATCCACAAAACTTAGTACCACCCGAAGGAGGAAATGGGAGAGACAGGAAGACAGTAGAAGTCACGAAGTGGGCCAGAGAACCCCTTCCACAAACCACCAGCAACTGGCCAGTCTCTCCTCTGAGAGATCAGGATGAAAGTGGAGTGTGTGTGATCTTAACAGGAAAAAACAAAAATGTAAGCAAGAAGCCACAGAACCTGAGTCTGAACACAAAGTCAAATAAATGGTCAGCACATAGGAGAAAAACCTGCCTTCTTCTTAGAGATTTCAGTGTTCCATGTCCCTCACTCCACTTGACTCCCTCTGGGCTGGCCCCACCCTAACTCACAACCCCCAAGGAAAAATCCACTCTTACCTACAACCTGGATGATCTGGGCCAGGAGGACGCCATCCGTGACATCTTGCTGGAGATCCTTAATGAGACGCTTATGGCCGGATTTGGCTAGATAATGGTTGGCCCAGTCCGTGTAGATCTGCAAAAAAGCAAACAGGCAACTTCAGGAAGCCAGCCGGACCCAATCTCAGAGTCTGTGGCAGCTGCTCGGGCGGGACGGTGGACCCCGTCCCGCCGGCGAGCTTTCAGGGCCAGGCAGTGCCATTAAAATTCAGGGCATTGTGCGGGTCGGGCATTCATAACCATAGCTGGGCTTTTGCCTATTGAGAGATCTGCCGTCAGGGCTCAGGGAAAAGCTAAAGAAAGCTTCAAAACATGCAGGGGCCTGAATGGGACAGGGGACACGGAACTAAACAGTCTGCTCCAGAGGGCTTTGAGAGGCTGCAGCACTCCATGCGAGCTAAATCTCCCACACCCCTTCCCGAAGTCTCCCCCGCCCCTCCCCATCTTTTTCTCTGTATTGAGAAAACGTATGGGGAGGTTACCACCCAACAGGCATCTCCGAATGGGCCATTTCAGGGGAAGGAGGGCCATTGAGTTATTCGAGTTCTCAGGAGCCTGGGTCCCTTGTAAAGAAGCCAAGTAGGAAAACAGAGCCCCTTCAATGACTCTCGTGTGAGTGGAGTTATTTTTCGCCTCACAATAATTGCAAATGTAATCGGTTTAATTTAAAAGCCAGGCATCATTTTCACTGTTGGGATTCTGTGAACAAAACCTAGCACATTCCAACGTATTTAAACACAATATTGGAGCGCACAGCACCCTGGAGGCAAAGGCTAGGTCACCCACAGAATCAGGAGAGCAGACCCCCTTGGGGGACATATGAGATCTTCTCTTCCTGGTCTCAGAACAGTTAGAAGAAAAATAAAATTTTCTTCCAAACAGGCCAACATGCACAAGAAAATTCTTGCCTAAAAACCTTTTCCCCAACTAGCAAGGCCAAAAACATAACAAAACAAAAAGTCCCAAGCTCCACACATGGGTTTGTGAGCTTGCAGAGGAATGTGTACGTGATCAAGGAGGTCCCTGCATATCAGCATCTCTTTTTTTCAGAGTGATATGAATACATGACTGCTCAACAAAAGAACCATCTTGCCTCAACTACTTAGGAGCAGCCGATTTACACACTATGCCATCTGATGTCTTCACCAAAACGATGAAGGTGATCATTCTACCTTCATCAGCGGGCTTGCTCCGTGTGACCATGTGACTCCCAGAACAGCATTCACGCCCAGCCTGATCCTGGCTCTCACCCTCCATCCTGTTCTTCCAAAGCCTCGCCCAGGGTAATATCACACAATGGTGGCAGCCCCTCAAGGCTCCTGGCTTGGGAGCAGGAGATGGGTAGACGGGCAAAGTTAGGCCCTTCTAGGGAGACAGCATCTCTGGCTACTCCACACGGGGAACCTGAGGGCTTCTTCCTCAGAAGGACTGAGTCGAGCTGCACCTTTTAGTTCATCAAGAGATGAGAACGACAATGCATGTCCACCACCCACCCACCTAGAAGCTCTGTCTTCCACCGCATTGACCCACAAGCAGAAGAGGCACCCCTACCATCTGCCTCTATTTCACAACTCAGCCCAGGAATTCAATCCCTAAACCCATACTAGTCTCCTTCCCTGTGATTCCCCAGTGGCCAAAGACCAAAAAATCTAGTAAAACAAGATCATTTTCCATTTGGTAAATGTAGAGAAAATTAAGGAAGTGGACCACCATCTTGGTCATTACAGTACCTAACCTGAAATTTAAAAGAGTAAATGGAATTGTTAAGAGGGAGAAGAGGAAGAAAAACAAACGTTAAGAGGAAAAGGAATTCACAATAGCAAAAACATGAAACCAACCAAGCTGCCCATAGAAGCTGGCCTGGATTTTTAAAATGTGGTACGTATACAATGGAATATTATACAGTCATAAAGAAGAACAAACATATGGACTTCACAGCAACTTGGATGGATTTAGAGTTGATCCTACTCAGTGATCTATCACAGAAACAAAGAACAGAGTACCATATGTTCTCACTCATAAGTGGAACTTGACCAAATTATCATAATACTATAAGAAAGGGATTGGCAGTAGTGGAAAACTGTCAGGGGAGGGGGGCTGGGATTGGCAGTTGAGGGAAACTGCCAGGGGAGGGAGGGGCACACCTCATCAACAAGGGTACCTGCATGATGAACTTTTGTATACCTAATCCTGAATTGTACCCCACATCTTTAAAATTTAAAAAAAAATTTTTTTTAAAGAGGAAAAGAAGGAGACTTGGTTCAAGTCCCAGTTCTACGGGCTCCACAAGGATGAGAACTGGGGACTGTTTTCCTCAATGATGTATCTACGAGTATCTCTAAGAGCACAGGCATATGAGAATTTCTCAATATATACCTGTGGATGGATGAATGACCTCATGTGAGCTATTTAACTTCTCTGAGGCTGTTTTCTTATCTGTAAAACGAGATCGATACTATCTACTTGTCAGCTATTATGAGGCCTGAGTAACACAACACATTTGAAAACAGTGCCTTACATGGAGTAGGAGCTTAATAAATTCAGCAAACATACAGTGCCCACTATATATGCCAGGCACTGGTACAGACATTTTACACATTAACCCATTTAACCCTCCTTCTATGAGGTAGATATTATCATTGTGCCCATTTTTCAGAGGAGAAAACTGACGGTAGAGAGGTAAAGTAACTTGTCTAAAGTCACAAATAAATGGTAGAGCCAGAATTAAGACCCAGGATGACTTATCTGGAATCCCTTAGTCACTACAATACCACCTCCCTAAATACAAATGTCAATGTTCGTCATTAAACCCTTCCATGACACCCTGCTGTTGATTCTAGTCTCATTTTTCTATTTAATGTTCTCACTGAAAGAATTAAGGAAAAAAAAAAATCAAAACCCAAACCTAGATCTATCCCTTGCTATCTGAATGCTTTTGGATTAAAAAAGTCACTCAACTTTTCTGGGTTTCAGTTCATTCACCTGTAAGATGGACACAACAAAGCCAACCGCAGAAGATGGACGTAAAGAATCAGTGAGACACCGTATGGAAGCCCCTGGCCTGACCCGCATGGGGAGACTCAGGAAGGAGGCAGCAGGAGAGGCTGGTAAAGAGGAGGGCTCTGGAGTGAACAGACTTGCTTGACATCGAGGCTGCTATGATGCCAATTACCTCTATGCCCTCTGGCCAAGGTGTTCTCATCTGCAAGATGGTGATAATAATACCTACGTCATCGGCCATTATGAAGATGAGGTGAGCTCATACACAGAAAGGACACAGGATCTGGCACAGCTAAGTGTTCAGTAAATAAAAGCTGGTAATTCAAAATCTCACTACCAGCACCATATAAAAGTGGATTCTCACAAAATCTGTTCACCCTGAGAGGGTCTACCCTGACCTCCAGGACACACATGACTCAAGGACTTCTTCCCCTTCTCACGGCAAAATTTCAAGTCTCCCACTGGGAATCACAAAGGATGGCAGAGTCAGAAACCGGCCAGGCTGGTATCCAGAGCAAGGCTTCCTTCCTAACTAGGAGGTGTGCACCCACACTACTCTCTCAAACCCTAGAGGGATGTCCCCTTCCATGTGGGAGGGACCATGAAATACTCCCATGTTTAAAGACCTGGATACCTAGAACATCAGCTACATGACCAGTGGACATCGACAAGGAAACTGCTAAGTGGAAGGAGATATTGGTGCCACAGTTCATCCCTTCCTAGACATTTAAGGTTCTTTAAGAATAGTTGTGCCTCCCAAAATAGCATCCACTCCCCATCTGACCTTGGCTCTCACCCTCCATCCTGTTCTTCCAAAGCCTCACCCCAGGTAATCTCACAATAGTGGCAACTCCTCAAAGGGGTTGCCCCCCATGTGGGTCAGGACAGGGACTTCCACACAGTGCCTCACTGATCCTTACATCTACCTTCTGAAGTAGGCCTAGTTGTGAATAAATAAATACAAGTGAATAAACTGAAGCCCAGAAAACTTGAGTGACTTTTTATTCAAAAGCATTCGGATAGCAAGGGATAGATCTAGGTTTGAATTTTGATTTTTTCATTAATTCTTTCAGTGAGAACAATCCAGATGCCCATAGAGAGGGGACTGAAAAAAGAAAATGTGGTACATATACACGACGGACACGATGGAACATAAAGAAGAACAAAATCATGGCCTTTGTAGCAACATGGATGCAGCTGGAGACCATCATTCTAAGTGAACTATTACAGAAACAAAAACCTGAATACCACATGTTCTACTCACAAACGGGCTCTAAACATTGGGCACGCGGGCACAGAGGCAGGAACAACAGTAGCTGGGCACTGCCAAAGGAGGGAGGGAGGGAGATAAGGGCATACAACCACCCACTGGGCACCATGTCCACTACCAGGGAGAGAGGGCTTGCTAGAAGCCCAAACCTCACCTGCAAGCAATGTACTTATTTAGCAAATCCTCACACATACCCCACAACTCAATAAAATAAAATAATAGACGTACTATCTCCTCTCTCTATTATGAGCATTCTTTGTGAGTCTATACAACCCAGCAGGACGCGAAGGCTGAACGAACTTCTTTCAACAAGTACACACACATACACACACACACAAGGGAGCCATGGTGGGACCATGTAGGTACAAGGTACATGAAACCCTCCAAAGACTGTAGTGGTCAGAAGCAGCTTCGCCAAAGTGAACCTTTCTACTCCAGAACAAAAGCTTGTCTCCTCTTTAACCTACCTCCACACCACTGCCAAATGAACCTGCAGAGGGCACAGCTCTAATTGTCTGCTCAAACAACCATCAATGGTTCCCAGTTTCCAACTGAATTAAAGGCAAACTCTTCACCCTGTGAGTCAAGGCAGTCTTATCATTCCTCTGCTCTTGCTCAGACTATATCTGACCCTTGAAGGGGCAGCAGCATGCATGAAAGCCCACAGGCTTTGGAATCTAGTAGGGTCAAGTTGGCCATTGGCTCTGGGCAAATTAGTTTCTATTCATCGTTCTGTTCCTCAGTTCTATCCTCCATAAACAGAGGATTAGACCAAATATATTATAAGGTGAGGGCTGGCAACCTGC